AGCTGGAACAGTGGAGACATTTTGAGGGCAAGGTGGGGTGAATAAATGCAGAGAATTGTAGTTTGGAAGTTAGGAGAGGTGCGGGATTAAACCCAAAACGTTTCCAAGGGGTGGGAAGGGGTGATAGGTGGTTTGGACTGTAGAGAAATGGAACAAACAGAATGACTTCAAAGTGTACAGTCTAACGGAAAGGGGCGGGGAGGGGGGCCCAGGAAAGTTTTGGGGGGAGGGGGGAAAGGAGGGTTTTTTTGCGAGGGGCTTGGACTTCCCGCGGGCATGCGTGACGTATTTGATGGGTGAATGGAAACAAATGGTTTTTAAAACTTGACGTCTGTTGGGGTGTGAGCAAAGTAAAATTATGATGGGGTTTGGGAAAACCGGGAGGCCGGCTTAGTCCGAGATGGAAATAAGTTTCCTGCACTCTGAAGGAGGGGGGTTAAAGTTGCATTTTTATAAACTGTAGCGTAAAGCACCCCCCCGGGAAGACAGGATGGAGTGAATGATGAGAAAATTTTTCTTTTTTTGGGGTCCCCCGCCTTGGTGGGAATACCAAGGGGTTAATAAAATTAAAAATATATATAATATTATATAAAAATAATAAATAAAATATAAATAAAAAATTTTATATTAAAAAATATATTATATATATAATATTGCGTCCGAATTGTAAAACTGGGCAATTACAAACTCAATTTTAAAATTAAGTCCTTTCTAAAATTTTCTCTTATACGTTTAAAGATATATTTTTTTTATTAATTAAAAATAAAAAATTTTTAAATTTTTCACCAAAAGAATCTTGAAAAATTTCCCAACCTTTATAACAAAAAGAATTTATTTTAGCCTACCTAAAAAAATATTTTTAGATTTTTTTTCAATAATTTAAACTAAAAAACACATGAAATATATTTTTTTTGTTAGGTTCAGAAAGATTTTGGCAAAATTTTTGCATACACAAATTTTCACTTGTCCCCAAGGCAAGATGAGCGTTGCTATTTTAAGCCAAAATCGCAAGTTCTGCCTATTCTGCACGACATATATATATATAATAATATATAAATATAAATATTAATTATATATATATAAAAATTTTATAAATATATATATAGGGAGAAACCCCCTCTATAGCTGGAATGGGGGCCCCCATCCTCAAGGGAAGACAATAAACGTACCTCAGAAAAACTAAGGGTTTTCCCCGGAGCTGTTTTTAATTTTTCTTCTCCTACCACCCCCCCATATATGTTTTAATCATGTGAACATTTATTAATAAACAAAAAACATTTACAGAAAAAACATAAACAGAATACAAGGCAAAAAAAGTAAAAAAAATGATGAATTTCCTCCCGCTCCCCGAGGCTGGACCCTGGCCAAAATCACAAGCATTTCCCCTCGGTGGGGACGCGAGGCGCTGGAACTGAAAGTGGCTGCCCTTGGGGCCCTGGTGGTGTCGAGAGTCTGGAACCCAATTCTTTAAGGGAAAATTGGCATTTTTTCCCCATGATCCCAAGGGCTCTGATCCCCCTGGGGCAAAATTGAACTGTTGGAAAATTCCCTGTACTTGCTGACTTGTACTCCCCCCGTGGTCAGCACTCCTCCCGTGCCCCCCCACGTGATGGGGTAAGGTGTCAGCCATGTGGCACACAGGTATAGTCCCCCTGCAAGAGCTTGCCATTCTTTCCCAAGGAAGATGGTGACCCCTCAGGGGGTTTTCTGGGTTGTGGGGGATTTTTTGCGCAAGTGACGTGGCTCCCCCCTCGGAGGGGATCCCCGCGTAGCAAGGGTTCCTTAATGATTTTGTTACCTCATTTGTCTGCATGCCCCCCTTGGTTTGGAACATTTTAAAACCATGTAGACCGTATTGGTCTGCTTTCACTTCGCCGCAAAACACATATATTCTGTGTGAAATTGGGGGAGCAAAGGCGCAGAGCCACTGCAATACGGAGGGGCTTAGGGCGAGTCGCGTTTCCCATTGCCGATAGGGAACTGTTTGGGGGAATCCCCGGGGGAGGGGCACTCACAGCCGGAGACGGGGAACTCCCATCTGATGTTTTCAGCCCTGGCATTTTTGGGAAGCACCTTTTTAGAATTGGGCATCCCAGCTTGACTGTTTTTGAGCCAGTCTGCACTAGGGTTTTGGTCTGGAGCAGCAAAAGTCTCCCTTCGGGGGATGGCACTGACATAGCAGGGTCTTCTATTCCTGCTGATCACTGAGGGTGTCAGGAAGAATTTTTTCTATCAACTCGTTTTTATGCAATGAAGGGAAAAGGAAAGCGGTAGAGCAATCTGGAGGACTGTTGACTCCCTACCCTCCAAGCCGCCGGAATAGGGTTCAACCACTGTCCTCGTCAAGGAAAAATTCAATACACTCTCTAGCTGGCCTTCAGGAAGAGCATATTCCTTTTAGTTTTTTTATGCTGAAGGGCGGGGCATCTCAGAAAATAGGGAAGTTTTGGGGGGTTTACAGGCACCTGGTAGTAGTAGAAGGCATCGTGTGTCAATGTCTTTCATCCGCTTTCCATCGTCCGGGGGTCGGAAATTTTTTTTTCCCAGGGCCAGATCGATGGATTTCCCAAAAGGAGCACCGAGGAGATGCTATTTGGGGGATCAAGGCTCGTGCTCCTGGTAAAACGGGACAAATTCTGGGTCAACTTTATTGGAAAATATTTTACATTTGGTGGGGGTTTTAAAAAAAGGCCAGCTTTCTCCCATGTCTTTTAAATTTTCTGAGTCCCCGGAGAGATTCTGTTTTCCAGCCGGGGACCCGTCCAGGGAAACCGATATTGACTCGCTGGGGAGTGCCTCCGTGACTTCCCCCGATGGCCAAACAAAAAAGAAAGGGGGGGAGAGGGGCCCCCGTTGCACCCCCACCGGTCAATTTCATGGGGCCCCCAAAAAATAGTTTGGAAATCACACTATAACACATTTTTAGAAGGGGTAAAGGGGAAAGGGAAATTTCTATAAACTGCTTGGAGAGCAGCATCCCTTCTGACTGAGTTGAAAGCTTGGCAAAGTCCAATTTACCAAGGCTTTTTCATAGGCATGTTTTTTTAATATACTCGTGCTGCGGGCAGCTGCTTCGCAGCCCCCGTTGAACGCCCAAAACCGAGCTGATTGGTTTCACATTGCAGCAGCCTCTTTACCACCCTTCTTACTGCAGCCTTGGCGACTAGGCGCCGAAGGGTGTTACCCCCCTGCAATGGGCCTGTTCCGCCCCCTTTTTTTTCCCGGGGGCACACATGAGGGGACCAAAAAAAAAGGGGCTGATGGCCTCTGGGACAAACCCCCACCAGGCACAGGTTGGAAAAAATTTTGGGGAGTTCAGACAGCAGCCTCTCTGAAACCTCACCAAGGCTGGTTGGTATTTGTTTTAAGTGTTGAAAGGCCCAAAAACCGGGGAAACCTCCTGCTGAACCGTGGAATGACATAGCAGCTTTAACACATCAGCATCCTGAAGGTTAGATGTTCTTCGCCTTGCAATGTCAGGGAGGTCAATGTTGGTACTGGGAGCCCCGGGTGGGTTTTGTCCTTTAGACTTGCGCCGTGCTGACGTCCTTGGAGTGATGGATCCTCACTGGTTATAAGTCCAAAGCTCCAATAGTATTACCCTCTTCTATTTTTTTTCTAATTTGGGTCGATTTTTGAGGTTCGGTGTCTTTTTGTTGGCATTTTCCCGGGGGGTGTTTTTTGCCCTAGGGGGAGACGGACGAGGTTGTCATCCCTTGGGGAAAGCATTATTGCCCAAAACATTGTTTCTATGACTTTTCCCCCCTTGGTGGGGGCAGCCAACAGGCATTGCCAAAAAAACAGCAAGTTTTGCCCGGATCGTTTTTTTGAAAGGAGCATCGTTTTACTTTCTTCAGAAGGGAGTGAAATTTTCTACACTTGAGGGGGAGCTGCTTTGGGGATGTGTGTCAGAGTCCTGGGGGATTTAATTTGATTGCAGATTTTAGGTCCTCTGTTGAGGGAAGTCACGGACTGTCAGCCCCCGTCTGCTGGGGGGGGCGTTGGGTTTTTCCATTTTGGAGCTCTCCTGGGGCCTAGACTCTATTGTGTGCACGGATGTTCCAGATTGGGGTTGAGTGCACTTTTTTCAAAAATCGGCCATCTCCCACCGAGGCAGGGGGGACCCAAAAAGAAAGAAAATCCCCCAAACCCGCCATTTTATTTTGCCTACTCCATCTAAAAATATTTTAATAAACAAAAAATTATAAAAAACAAAAAAATGAAAAATTTTTTCTCGTTTGGTTTTAAATGATTGAGAAATTTTTGCATAACAAATTTTCGCTTGCCTCATTCGGCAAGAAAAGCGTTGCTTTTTAAGCCAAAATCACAAGTTTTATCTATTGGGCACGATATATATATATATATATATATATATATATATATATATAATATATATTTAATATATATATATAATATTTAAATATTATATATTAATATTTATCACAGTAGATGACCCCTACTAATAACAATCATCTTGCTAAAAGATGGCTGAAATCATATTTCAGACGACCCTCGGAACAGAAATACTCCCACTCCTACTTCAGAGAGCAGTCACTATACTTCCTACCTTTAGGACTCAAATCCGGCTAACTAGCTTTTCCCTGATTCCTTTATATCAGAAGATGGGCCCATGAAATACGTGGTGAGTTTCAGAATACACCGAAGGTGAGGAGAAGAAGGTGGTGTGATGAGGTATTTGTAATAAAAAAGTTTATCTATAGAGGGGAGAAGAAAATTCGATGGACCCCAAGAAGGTAAATATTCATTTTACGGTAGTGGATGAATATTATTATTGTAGCCATTTATACTAACATGGTAGGAGGAATATTCATTAATGTAAGAGATGGAATAATCATTTACATGAGAGATGGAACGTTCATTAAAATTGGAGGGAGATTTTTCATGAACTTAATTTTCACTTTTACTGATAAAAATTTCGTGTCACTCTTTCATGTAATAGGATGGTTTTCAGGATGACAAAGAGCTGACTCACCTGACCTCTACGACTTACTTTTAAGGCTACCACGGATGATTTCCATGACTCGCCTTTGAAGCCACAGAGCTGATACAGCTAACATCTTTCGGACCACAGAATTTACCCACAGCTGACAATCACAACTCAATTTTGGAACCAGAGCTAAAACACAACTGACATTCACAAACCTCCTTTGTGACCACAAAGCTAAAACATCTGACATCCACAACCCACCTTTGGGGCCATACATTTGACACACAGCATAATTCACTGGGAGGGAAGACGTCATATTGTCACTGTAGACTGTATAATTCAGAGGATTGATCGCGAGGATCCTGTCTGCGTAACCACTGACTTCTAAGGGAATGTCTATCACCTCAGGACTTGGGTTATATATCCCTCCCATCGTCGGGTCTAGCCTGTAAACAAAATATAAGTTATAAATGAGCTTTTTTTATTATATATATATAGTTGTGTGTGTTGTGTGGTTGTGTGTGTGTGTGTGTGGTGTGTGGTTGTGTGTAGTGTGTGTGTGTGTGTGTGTGTGTGTATGTGTGTTGTGGTGTGTGTAAAACAACCACTGTGAAAGAATAGAGAAATTCCAAGCTTGAGTAGTCACGAAAGCGCTTGGAATTTCTCTATTCTTTCACAGTGGTTGTTTTGCATATTCTGAAATCACCTGTTTACTGTGATCTTATTGCATATATATATATATATATATATATATATATATATATATATATATATATATATATATATGTATATGTCGTGCCGAATATGTAAAACTGGTCAATTAGCAAGAACTCATTTAAAATTAAGTCCTTTCTAAAATTTTCTCTTATACGTTTAATGATATATATTTTTCATTAATGTTTATGTAAAAATTTATAATTTTGCACCAAAAGGAACTTAGAAAACTTACCTAACCTTATTATAACAAGCGCAATTTATTTTAGCCTAACCCAACTAAATATATTTCAGATTTGTTTACAATAATTTAATACTAAGCACACACAGTGAAATATATTTTTTTCGTTAGGCTCAGAATGATTTTGGGGAAATTATTGCATACACAAATTTTCGCTTGTCCTATATGGCAAGATGAGCGTTGCTATTTAAGCCAAGATCGCAAATTCTGCCTATTCGGCACGACATATATATATATATAATATATATATATATATATATATATATATATATATATATATATATATATATATATATATATATATATATATATGCAAAACAACCACTCTGAAAGAATAGAGAAATTCCAAGCGCTTTCGTGACTAGAAATACTTTTTACAATCCAAAAAGGGACAACCAGCCTTATTCAACTAAAAATATGTTGGTTCCCCCTTACCATGAAAACTTGGTTGATATGCCTTCTCTTCTTAAGACTTTTAATATTAAAGTTGTATTAAAAAATCTTGATACAGTAAAAAAAACTTTTGATAAAGAATTCCCCCCAAAATGCTGATGAATGTGTCTATAAGATTCCTTGTAAAATTTGCGATAAAGTTTATTACGGTCAAACTGGTAAAAATCTCGAACTAAGATTAAAACAACATACATATAGCATTAGAACTGGACAAGATTGCAATGCTCTATTTATTCATGTAAGAGATTTTAACCATCCAATTGATCCAGTTGAGAAAGTAGTATCAAGCAAGTCATGGTCGACAGGAATATAATTGAATCTTGTTTCATAAAAAGCAGTTTTGACAATAATATGAATATTTCCTTTGGTTTATATAAATTAGATCCATTTATAATTAATAGAATTTGGGAAGAATTTAATAATACACTGGACAAATAATAATTTTAAAAATTTTCTTGGGTAGAATAGTTTGTTGGTGGAAGGGGGAAAGGACCTGTCCAGTTGGGCCGGCGCGCGTCAGGTGTTTAACCGTTGTGGGATCTGATAGTGAGGTGTTGGCCAGAACCCTTATGTAGCTTCCTTGGATGCTTTACTTTCATAGTTCCTTGATAATGTGAGTAGTCACGAAAGCGCTTGGAATTTCTCTATTCTTTCAGAGTGGTTGTTTTGCATATTCTGAAATCACCTGTTTACTGTGATCTTATTGCATATATATATATATATATATATATATATATATATATATATAATATATAATATATATATATATATATATATATATATGTGTGTGTGTGTGTGTGTGTGTGTGTGTGTGTGTGTGTGTACACGCATATCTGTTAATAAGTAACAGTTAATGGTTCATTCAGCTAGTGGATCTGATGTCTGTTTGATTAGAAGAATATTTGAAGGGATAGTAAGCCAGTTCGAAACCTGATTAATTTGTTAATAGTAGTGCCTTTTGTTTAAAATGACTCCTGAACAAACACATGGACATATTACAGGACGTTTCGATTTAGGGATTGAAACGTTTACTAATATGTTTACTCAGGTGTCTTTTTAAGATCTTGTCGATATACTTTACCAAGGCTTATACTGGGTTAGCTGCTTTGCTGTCGTAACATACCTACCTAACCGAACATTGTGATTTAATGACTATAATGTTCATGAGATTTTGATTTGTGATACATATTGAGGAAACCTGTTGTTGGAAATGAGAGACTGGATCCTGCCTGGCTTTAAAATTCATATATCTGAATGTATCAGGTAATAGTGGAGAAATGTGGGGAGTAATATACAGCGTAAAGATATAGTTGCCATGATGAAATACTAGAGTGTGTTTTGTTGGGACAAAGTAGCCTTTCAGTGGAGTAATCCTGAGGTGTGGTGTGTCGCACGGAGCCTAATGTTAGTATTTTCCCGGAATCTGTTCAGACCTTATTTGTTGTACCTGGACAGGGTTCTCAGGTGTGTGATAACTCACAGTTAATATGTTAAGGATGTTTTAAGCCATACCTAGTTATCAATCCTTGTATTGTTTTGTGTATTTTTGTTATAAAGTTTAATTTTGATACCCAGTTCGTTTATATTTTGTCATTCAACCGCGGCGTGTTTACACCCACTGGTTTAGACCAGCCAATAATAGGTACTAATTTATATCCCGTTATCTTTTTCTTGCTTTTTTGTGGTATTGTACAAGAATGGTATGCAATACGGATAAGATGAAATTAAGACACATGTGCAAATTCTCTACATAGTTATACTGTTTTCAAGTTATGTCCTGGAATTTGTATTGATAAAGCCACTGGATGGCGAAACGTCTACAATAAAGATACCCGATGTTGCACATGTGTCTTAATTTCATTTGCGGTATTATAGTTATATTTTCAGTTCAACACTAGCACACTGCCAAGACAACATAACAGATAGCGATACAATGGGACACTGTCCCAAAGAGTTATCCATATATTTCTTGTTAAATGTGGCTATTTTTAATTATAATATTTTTAATACACGAGAGTATTATTATAATAAAAAACTAATTGGTAAAACCACAAGGGTTATACAGCGCTCCTGGGGAAGGGTGTGCTAACGGTTTAATCTGCTTGATGTGAGACTAACGAGGGTGGAGAGTACAACAGAGGCACAGTTTGTAAGGTAGGTGAGGAGTGCTCAAGGAAGTATTATCAGAGTTTGTGTAATAAATCTGTTGCTGTCAAAAAAATCGAAGAGGGAGTCTGCGTCAAAGGTGGGGCCATCAGCGAGGAGGGAAGATAAAGTGTGTTAGAGCGGTTACGACATCGGAGGCACAAGAGAGTAATCTGTAGTATGAGGCAACATAAATTTTATCTTGAAAAGCGTAGTCAGATTCCAGATATTTATTGTACAACATTGATTTCTGACGAATGGCGAAACGTCTACAATAAAGATATCCAGATGTTGCACATGTGTCTAATTTTCAACTCCTGAGTTGCCGATTTAGAATATTGCCTGAATTTTTGCTTAGTTTACATGTATGTCCGTGGAGCAAATTTATTTTTAATTAGTACTAAATATATCCGATAGTAGAAGTGTGTTAGGAGGTATTTCGGGATTCACTGCCTCACTGCCTATGGCAGGCAATGAGACAGTAGATGTTCTAATATTAAATATAGTATTAATACAAACATAGCAAGCTAAATATTATCAGGAAAAGAAATTAGTGGAGGCTAAAGAGGCAGCTAGGGGATAGGAAAGTCAATTTTTACCTCTGCACAGGCAGACTAAAGGTAATTTTTATGTCTTCAAAGGAATTAGTGGAGATAACGTTAAACTTGGGGAAGGCTTCTCTTTTTAAAAACTCTGCTAAGTCAAAGACGTGACCATATATTGAGGGGCTTCTCTGGCGAGCATTCATCTGGTAGGTACATATTTGAGATGAGTTGACACACTGGAAGGAAGTGACTTCTCTGACTACAGTCAAGTTAAGGAAATAGTTGTATTAACATACCAAATATTGCCTGAAAAATATCGTCAGAAACTCAGGAGTTTAAAGAATCAAGTGTCGCTCTAAAAGTCTTAATGGAATTTTGAAGACAGTTGTTAACTTCATTCTTTAAAAGAAACTTTTAAAAAACATGTCAGCTGACCTCAGGATTTATCTACAAATAATATATAGATGATTTTATCAACTCTGGAACTTAGTGAAAACTTTCCTTCTTCATAGAAGTTAGAAATTATTTATCGCACTTATGGGAAACTTCTCATCCTTACTCTAAAAATAACAAGAATTTCGAAGGTGACCTTGGCTTTCAGGGATAATTTAAATGTAACAAGCAATCAACGGTAAGTGAAACTAACAAGTCTCTACGGGCTGAGTGCTCTGGTCTTCTGGATCAAGTGAAAATTTTTCAGGTGCACTTGGCCACGGACCAGATTAAACTCACTAGAAATGGGGCTTTCAGGTATACTTCCTGTGGTAAGAAGGGTCATGTAAGGTTTTGTTCGAATACGTCTGTGGACTGAGGAACAACAGAGGCTTCATTAAGATTCATGTATTCAAGTTACACAATGGAGAGCACAGAAAACTTTAGGTAACCTAGAACCGGAATCAATGTAGTTTCTAGCATGTCTAGATGTGGACAAAGTTTTTTCTTTATATGACGACGAGTGTTGTATTCTGACTCTACTGTTTATCAATATTTTGCAGATTATATATTAGAAGACATAACAAGGTATATTATCAGAAATACTTGTCGGTATTTATGATAAGCCACCCCCTGAAAGAGTGAATTTTTATTTAAACAGCAGTGGAACCCCGCTAGTCACATGCACCCACTCTGACACCTCGTCCTGTACCTTCACTCGTCGTTTCCTTACTGCCAGGTATTCTCTGAACCATTGCACTGCCTTCCCTGTTATTCCTGCCTGCTCCTATAGCTTTTGCACTAATCTCTTGTGCGGAACTGTGTTGAACGCCTTCTTACAATCCATAAAAATGCAGTCTACCAACCCCTCTCTCTCCTGACTTACTTCTGTAACCTTGTCGTAAAACGCTAGTAG